TACACTAGAAGAGGAAGTTATGAATGTTAAAAAGTGTTTAAAGAATAACGGATACCCACTGAAATTTATTGAGAAATATGGAAAACGTGAAGATTTAAAAAAACCAAAGAAACTACAGCAAATAAAAAAACCTTCTTCTATTCAACTTAAATTCAAAGGTGGTGATGCCACAGGGTCAATATGAGACTAAAAACTGTATTGATTGTCCTGTAGCGTGGTGTCGAGTCGAGGTTGACTATAAACACCACTACAAGAAGACTACGTGCCAGTTAACCGATAAAATCCCCCGTAAGCCAAATATCAGGAGGCAGTTGATGGCTGTAGTCGAGATGTATTGGTTGGCGATCACGTGGTATCAAAAGGATACCGAGATCGTGCCAAAGGAGTAAAAGCGTCGTTACCGAGCATAACCGAACCTGTGCAAGGTCACAATCGAAAGATAATGGAGCAGTAATATAGCTGTCTTTAGCACATTTAAACAAATGAGCAAAGTAAAACAATCACTGGTACATTGGTTATAATAATGATTGTTTACGTTAAATCAACAGCGTCCTCTTGATAAAAGTAGGTCACTACAATCCTGTCCAAAACAACATGTTCTTTAACACAATCGAAGGTCGATAGGTATCCCTTTCATGTTACCACCAATTGTGTGTATAAATTTACAAGTATCTGTCAAAGCAGTTACATTGGTAGAACAGAACATTCGTTTCAAAGAACATATTCAGAAAAGTTTAAGATCAAATGGATTAAAAAATATTTAGCAGTGCCATCCTAAGACATCTCCTTGACACAGGACATTAAGTCAATACACTGAAGTATTTCAAGATGATTAATAAACAATGAAACTCTAACCTTTTGAAATTTGTTGAAGCGATAGCGATCAAACGTCTAAAATCAGATCTATTTATCTAAAAAGAAACAGTAATAAGTCTTTCTTTGCCCTGGTAACATTAATCCCTCTTTTTTATTCATCACATCATTTATTATTTCAACTCTTCCTGAAGTTTAAATTACATATATCATTGTCATTTTTCTTTAATTCATAATTGACTGATTTCAATCCATACCTTTCTTTATAACCATTAATCTATTTTCAGTTACTTCATTACATAATCGCTTAATGTTTGTTAACTCTATAAGTTCTAGTCAGCATTTCAGTGTTCTGGAACTTTCCTTCCCAAACTTTATTTATCCGAAACAAACAATCTTTTAATGAAATCTTCGTTACATCATGATACACACATAATCATCTCTAATCACCATCGTAGTTACTATAAGTATGCCAATATCTGTAATAACATTGATTTTCAAGCATTTTAGGTTGTAAGCAGCTAATGAGAACTTAACGAAATAAAAATGAATCCATTTATTATTCTGTACTAATCTTCATTCAACACATGTATCGTAATATTTGAGACTTGCCAGATGGGAGTAAACCTGAGTCAAATTGTTGTTATTTACATTGGGCTCCAACTCAGTGCCTATAGTTTCAAATAATGATTTCAGATAGCTACTAACTTGTCCAACAGGTATTATGTTTATTCATAATAACTGTGATGCTGGTATGCATTCAACTGGAGGATTCTAAGTATTATGAAACATGCATCTTGGATCCCATTACTAGTTACAAATGAAGATGAATTCACACTTTACACAATATATATATGGTTTCCATTTACAGTGTTCTGTTTAATATTTCTCACCTACAATTTGGTCTTGAACTAACTAATAAGTGTGCACACTTACATGATTTATCTATATTTGCATAGTCTATCAACTGGATAGCTGTAGGGTGTGAGACAAATATCACCAAATGCAAATGGATAATGATTATATAATATCAAGGATTGATTAGAGTTAAAAAACATACATCATAGGATTCAAGCTCACTGAGTCAGTCAGTCATTCAACGACGTAGAACTTCATACATACGTACATCAGTTCAAGTTGCCATGCCACATTAGCACAGAGATACATTTGTCCATTCAAATCCCGTAGTGGTAGAGGTAGTAAGAGTATAAGCAGTAATCGGACAGATTAGGGTTTGAAGATGTTACTCAAGGAGTATAATCCAGTGAAATAAATTTGGGAAGAGATGAAAGGGACATGAAGAATTCAGAAGATTAGAATTTGGGAGAACACAAAGAGTGGGTGCACTTGCACCATTGCAAACGATTTTGTGCCATGTCATTCAAGGTCTCAAACCACCGGTTGCTATTACCTGGCGGATCCCAACCAGGTAGTCTACACCTACTAACACGGCTCAGTCCACCTGTCCAGTGACTTCATGAGTTTGTGCCATGTTTTAGTCTGGCTGCCCCTAGTTTTCTTCCAACCTGGTCCTACACCATAAATCATCGCTTGTCGGGGCAGTCGGTGGTTGGGCATACGTAACACATGTCTCGGTCATCTCAACTGATGAAGTTTCACTACTTCATCAATTGATTTGCCATCCTTACCTAGTACTCGTTTCCTAACAACTAAATTACTTACTCAGTGGTTCTAGAATATACGAGCAATGTTTCGAAGACACCTATGATCGAATGCTAGTAACGTACGAATATCTTCTACTCATACCGGTCATGTTTCACAGCCATGAAGTAGGACAGAACGAACTTCTGCGCAGTAAACCCATCTTTTGGTTGGTAGACGGACATCTCGCCTACGCTATGAATAACGCACGTTGGCAAAGGCTATTCGAGTCTTCTGTATCCGTGCTGAGATTTCGTCACACACCATACCACAAGGTCTGGTGAGACTCCCAAGATAAGTGAATCGGTCAACTACTTCACTCTCTATCATTAGTTCAGGTGTCGATGCAACCCAATCCTGAAGCAACATTTTGCATCTCGAGGGGGATAATAGCATCACAAACATGCTTGCATTGTGGCTTATAGCAGTCAGACGACTGCATTTTGTCAGGGTCTTCACCAAACAGAAATATATCATCGACATATTCCAAGTCAACAAGTCAATTTATCGATAAAAGTCCAACTCATAGAAACTTAGATGAGGAAATTGCTATCTCTTAAAGTACATCAACCACTAGAATGGAGAGTGGACAGCCCTGACGAACACCACTTGAGGTAATCAATTTTGATGACATTTCGTCATAAGCTCTCACTCAGCTAGTTGTGTTCGAGTAGAGAGCCTTTATAAGGTTAATGTACTTCTTTGGTACTCCTTTCAGTGACAAACACTGCCATGGAACCTCACGATCAACAGAGTCAAATGCCGCCTTAAGGTCGAGAAATATTACTATTGTGTCTATGTTCTAGGACCTGACGTAGTGTGAATATTTGGTTGGTACGGCCACGTCCAGGTCGGAGACCGGTTTGGTTTTCTCTAGTCCGCTCTTCGTGAGCTTTAGTTAGGCGTCGAAGTATTATTGAAGCTAATATTTTAGACACTATATTAGTCAAACTGATTCCTCTGTGACTGACGCAAGAGGACTTTTGTCCTTTCTTATAGACTAGCACAATCAGAGATTGAGACCAGTCAGATAGGATTACGTCCAGTTCCCAAATTCTACGTAAGATCTCAGTCAATATCACTGCTAATACTGGACCCCCTTCCTTAAAAATCTCAGGGGTAAACCTGTCAGAGCCTGCTGATTTGAAGGTTGATCGCTTGTTGCGAATTCTGAACGTCCTTTATTAAATCTTTAGTGAGGTCGAAAATGCACACAGTTGAATAGTCCCATAATAAGACGTAGCAGCTGTTTAATTCTTCCTGATTTTTAGTAGTTGTCATATTACAAGTTCAACGAACTCCATAACCCCTCTACTGAAACCTCAAACTTAGTTATCTCTTTTCGCATTATATATATTCAAAGTTCAATCTTTTTATTGTTAGGCTTTTCAGTAGTTTATTATTGAAACGATCCATCATTTAATGCATTACATAATATCTCATTAACTAATTGACTTAATCATTTCTTTTCTACATTACCTTAGCTTCATTTATTCCAAGAAAAGATGGATAGTGTCTAGCAGTGAAATACAGGATGTGCGTTCGATTCTGTTTAGAACTAGTCAGCTGGATGTACCTGCATCTTAGAGTTGATGTCCACTCTGTGACTCGAACCAAATATCTTTCGCCACAAACGCCATCGCGTCTTGATAGCTTGTGCAGTGTGGTGAAAGATAAATTCACTTGGGACTGTTTACTTTAATCTTCCCATTGATGTTTAGGACTACAATTGATCAGTCTCTTATTGGCATATGTGCATACTGTGCGCGTATTGTCTCGATGTTGCCGTAATTCACAAGGATTATAAGCAAAGATGGATATTGGCTAGCAGTGGAATCCAGGACGCGTTTCTTCCTATTTGGGACTCGTCAGTTGAATGTGCCCGATAATATCGAGGTAATACGCATAGTATGCACATATGGCAATAAGAGACTGATCGATTGAAGTCCTAATCATCAATGAGAAGATTCAAGTAAAAACGATACCAAGGGACGTTCATTTATTCCAGTTTTTACTCTTGTGATTTTCATGTATTTGACCTATAACCCCAATCCAAGTAATTATAATTACATACTAAACATATCAACATTTACAAGCATTAATCAACTTATTTTACCACTCATAACTAGTTAGTATCAAAAAGGGGTTTTGTGGATATTATAGTAATTTAATAGTTGAGTTCATAAGTCAATTGAAGATAGACCACCACGGAAAACCTGGAAGCACTGGACGGCCGTTTCGTCCCAGTGTGGGACTCCTCAGTAGTGTGCGTCTATGATCCTGCCCCGAGGGACTCGGACCCAGGACTTATAGGTCTCCCGAGCGAACGCATAACCTCTCGACCACTAAGCAGACATTAATTATTGCTTAGTTATGTATATGTTGTTAGAACTTGTGACCGCCGATTAGAGGGCAATGAATTATCGATCGGAACAAGGATGCGTAAAACACGTGCGAGCAGCCTAGAGTCTTGATTGGTCCTGCTTTCCGCCCAGCCCAGCCAGTTAAGTCCAGAACACCAATCTCAGCCTCTGCAATATGAATCATTATATTTCAAACATACTGAGTTTATACACTAATCAAAGAGACCACAACGTATCAATAAAATATGAAACAACATTTGTACAAGAATTAGCCAGATGTGACTGTGAATGAGGGAGGCAGTGACTAATAGATAGGGAATAATTCAAGAATAGAAAATCGTATAATAATAGTTCATAGGTCAAAATAAAGCTTATGATAAGAGAGACATGAATAGTTTAGTTAATTAACAAATATACGGTAAAAATATACGTATAGTATTGGTCCACAAATGGATCCCAAAAATTACCACTCATTATTCTTATCGAGGCATAAAATATGTATATATTTTTTCTATGTTGCTCAGCTTCACTAAAACTTATCTAATTTTAAGGTGAACATTACTATGATAAATACAGAATTAATGGATACTTTAAACAATGAAGGACAGGCATGTATATATATGTCTTAATTGATTTTAAAATCTAGAGTGACTAACATTCTAAACAGCTGATATAAATGATCTTAATATATTGTCAGACAAGGCTGTCTACTATCCTCCTTACTCTTTCTCCTGGTAGTCTACTGGATTATGAAGACCTTGACATCTGAGGGAAAGCACGGAATACAGTAGACAGCTAGGGATTAATTAGAAGATTTAGACTTCGGAGATAACCTGGCCCTTCTATCCCATACAAACGAACAAATACAGATGAAGAAAACTAGTATGGCAACAGCCTCTGCATCAGTAGGCCTCAACCGGACCACATTTGATGGGGAAACTATGGAAGATGTGGAATCTTTCACATACCTGTCAAGCATCATCGATGAACAGGGCGGATCGGATGCAGAAGTAAAGGCAAAGTAAGAGACGTATTCCTACAATTCAAAAACGAATGGAACTCAAAACAACTGTTTGTCAACCAACATCAAAGTCAGAACGTCAGGACAGTCTCATTGTATGGAGCTGAAACGTGGAGAACTACTACAATCATCATCAAGAAGGTACAAGTATTTATTAATAGTTGTCTACGCAAGATACTCAATGTCCGTTGATCAGATACTACCAGCAACAGCCTAGTGTGTGAGAGGATAAATCAGCTTCGAGCTGAAGAGGAAATTAGAAAAAGAGTTTGGAAGTGGATAGGACATACATTACGGAAATCACCAAACTGTATCACGAGGCAATCCCGAACTTGGAATCGTGAAGAGGAACAGAAAAGAGGAACGCCGAAGAACACACTTTGTTGGGAAATGGAAGCAAACATGAAAAGGATGAATAGCAACTGGAAAGGATTGCCCAGGACAGGATTGAATGGAGAGTGCTGTTGGGTAGACTATACTCCTTCATGAGGGATAATAGGCGTAAGTATTGTGGACTGAACCTCTGATTACGAAAGTTTTAGGATCACAGTCACTAATCGTATGCCAGATAGTTATTCTTCCACGTAATCGATGAGCCTACCAGGATTCTCACCAGTAAATCTCTTAGTCACCCTTTTCCTTTTATAACACTCAAAGTTTATACGTTTTCAGTGTTGTACTTCATTTATAATTGATTGTCATATTATATCTTAAAGAGTTTTTATCTAATTGTATACATTTCAGTGCCGTTTTGGACATCACATCGGTACGTAATTTATATAAGGGTGACAATCACATTATCGGATTCAGAGAATTATAACATTAAACTACAAGTAGCGTCAGACCGAGATACAATTCTTTTCCTGAATTCTATAAAAGATAGTTGGAATCCATGACTTCAGTGGAAATATAAATTCAATTTAATTTAAAATCTGTTGTAATTTATGATTGACATCATGAACCGTTAGTCCACCTTTGGAAACCTGGAAGCACTGGACGGCCGTTTCGTCCTATAGTGGGACTCCTCAGTAATGCGCAGATGCTTAACCTACTGGGCCACTGAGCCGGTATCCAATGGTGATAGTGTCTAACATCAACCAATCCACGAAATTGGTCCTACGTTGTAGCTGACTGACCCCATTTGCTTAGAGCCACACACATACACACACTCTGATTTGTATCACATCACACAGCATTGAATAAAAAAACAACTAAACAAACATTTAAAAAAACAAGTGCACACTGTATGAAATTTGTTGTATATTTTGAGATGGTAATTGATGAACAATATTTTTTTTAAAAAAAGACCACTTCATATAATATATGTGTACGCAGAATACTAGAATGAGAACATTATCATCATTGAAGCAAAACTAACAAATACATATATCTATATAGTAATACAACAATGAACAAACACAGAATGATTAGATCTATTCCAATGACGAATTCATGTAATTCATCATTCAAAACGAAAAAAATTCCAGAAGATGAATAAATATATTCCCATTAGATCATTATTAATGTCCATGTGACAAATGATCAAGACAAGTGTGTAAAACAAATATGATGTTACTATGTACTGAAAAGTTTATAAAAATGGAACAAAATTCATTTTTATAAATTACAAAAATACACATACGAATATTAAAAAAGCAACAACATGACAAATGACAGAACACTACACACAGCACAATGGTGAAATTGTTGATAGATTCATGACATTAATGAAATGATCAAAATAACCGGTTGAAGAAGTATAAGACAACGGTGAATTACACATAAATGGTTATCTACACAATGATGGAATATTAGTAATAATCATTTCTTAAAAGAATAAACATGTCTACCCGGTAGTAGAATATTCTCTCTCTCACACACACACATACACAGTACTCGAAGAAGAAACAATGACCGTTAGGAAAATTTTTAAAAAATTCCAACAACTTTTCATGGAACATGAGAAACTGATACAGAATCTAAGAGAAGAATGTAAAAATTGGGCAGATTTCTTTTATAAAAAAATCAGTATAACAAATGTATTTTTATTACGATACAACCATAGGTGTTGTGTGTGTGGGTGTGTGTTAAATTTCACAATTTTACTTCTGTGTCATTCGTGAAGTATTCCTTATATGTATCGAATAAAAATAACGAAGATGATGGTGACAATGAGAGAAAAAAGAAGTGTAACTATGAGTAAACACACACACACACAGAGTACCACTGTGTTGTGTGACAGGATTAATTAAAGATTGTGTGAAAATGAAATTGGTCATTCGAAGGTGAAAGAGAGAAAGAGGAAAAATCTCTCGCTCAGATACACAATAGAAAAAAGACAACTCATATGAAATGATTGGATGATTATTGTAAATATGTATGCGTAGAAATGAACAAGTAGATTATAAATACATATACTAAATTACATTATTCATTGTTATTTCTGAAATAGATGAACAATACAAAGTTGGAATTATATAATCATAATGAATAGGATCGTGGAAACATATAGGAGAACTGCATGTTTGGAAATTCTCAATTATTTAAAGATTGGTTAGGTTAGTCGAGTGTTTTTTAAAAAAAATCAATTTATGCTGTTTGTACTGCACGATAATAAGCGTTTGGATCACGACCATTCACAGCACAACAAAGAGTCATTGCAAATATCAAACCAATCAGCTAGAAGGAGATTTTGAAAAGAAAAAAAACAAGCATGATGTGGATGTTAGTTATAATTATTTAGTTAACCAAACCGTTATAACTAGGAAAATGAAAGGAATGTAACAAACTAGATAACCTACTTTTAAGATATTATTACTCTTAATTACTTTTTGTATTTGGTGTGTTGAATCTTCCTATTGATGATTATAACTGCAATTGACCAATCTCTTATTGGCATATGTGCCTCCTAAGAGGATTACCATAAGTTGCGATGGCGTTTGAAGCGAATGGTACACGGTTTGAGTCATAGAGTAAACGTCAACACTGGGATACAGGTACATCTAACTAACGAGTCCCAAGTGTGATAAAACGCGTGTCCTATATTTCACTGCTAGCCTCCATCCATCTTTGCTTATTATTACTCCTAGTTTTTTATCTGTAATTATAAACAGTTGGATTATGGGTTTCCTTTATTCGTCTAATCCTAAACTATTATAATTTAATCATGACCACAGTATTCTGACTTTTACCCTGAATGCCTTATTTTTATTAATTATGGTATTCACTATTCTATTGTGCATCGTGGCCTATATGTGTACGCAGTTAGTTGAATACCTTTCGAGTTAACACCCATCGTCTTATTCGGACGTACAGTTTTTCGACCATTGCCAACTAACCGGAGTCCGCCTAGCGGATCGTTAGTCGGTCTATTCACCAATTTATTTGTTAAGGTTATATTAAAATTTAAAAACCATACTGTCCACCAAACATTAGTTACATTTTCAGCAGTTGATGCGGAGCACTTATTTGATTCGATTATTAATGAGTTTGCAGGTATCAATGGTAAATAACTATTTACTCTCACGAAGAGGTTTACATCAAGGTCACGAAACGTCAGAAATACAATGTTCTACTCACTGTGATATTACAAAAAACGCATTTATTAATATAATGCTTATTACGTCAGTCATATGCACAGACACACGCTTTTATTTTACATGAAACTTACCTCAATGAGGGCTATTGTAATAACCGAGATACATATGATTAGGAAATTATGCATAATATTGTCAATTCTTTCTTTACAACCCTAGAGATTAAACAAAAAGAACAGATCATTTGGCTGTAAATAAAATCTGAATCAATAATCATGATAATAAAAAGTATTCATCTGTCCATTACAAGTTTAAGTATACTCGACTTCCGGAATACACTGGTTTTATGTGAGGACTACAAATACAAATACCCAGTTGGTCAGACTCAAGTACTCGAAACAAAGTATCAACTGTTGTGGTGCACCAATTGAAAGCCGACTACGTTAATCGCTAAGCCACTTCAAACACAATCACAAACCATTTAAAAGGGAAGGATGAAAGAATGGTTAAAATCCAAGGGTTTAATGAGGGACTTGCCTATTCTTAGACACTATTAATTATTAACAATGTCAACGAGCAGGCTGAGGTCACTTTAATACACCTCCTATTCAGGCAGGCACACGATATCTGAGGTGTATTTTATCTATGATAACTGAAAACTGATTAGAATAAACGTGTTGCATTATCAATAGGTCAACTATTCGTTGCTAATATTTGGAAGATTTCACAAAACAAACAAACGGATAGTGGCAAGTGAAAATTCTGAGTGGATTTTCTACAGTAAACCAACGACAGGTTAGGAAAAATAAAATGCATGTCCAAAGTGGATGCATATATGAACATACATATCCTGAGACTAGTCGTCTGTTTAACAAATACAGTTTAAGACGTGCATATGATGTATATTGTTAAACCATTCTACATATTGACACACATTTATAGATACAAGATGTATGGATTTTATAAAAATAAATGAAATATTCTGAAATTTATAGAGCTAGACAACTAATGCTTACTTACCGTCTGAAAACTGAGCAAAGCGAAATCCATAGCACATTGATCATTTAAACAACAAGAAGGGACTTTAGCAATACCATAGTCTGTAGGTCCATTGTAACCGCAACATTGGAACTAGACAGAAAAATTCAAGCATACATATATATTTTGATATTTTCTAACATATACAGCTCGATAAGTACATATTCTTGGAAAAAAAATCGCAGTCACATACTTAAGTGGATTGGTTAGTTATAAAGGTAACAAACTATGTGAAATGTGCTTTCGCTTCCTTTGGTAACTTCACATGATAAAATGGTAGTGCAAGGGGCAAACCAATTAGAATTGGGAATACAACCTTTAAGTTTTAGGCAAAATTTCACAAATGAATGAATTCTGCCACATATAGCGTAACACGAGTAGGAGAAATACTTTTGTGTGACGATCAGAACTTTTAAATTTATAACGAAAAATTATTTTTGTTGTCAGAGTGAAAATTAGTGTTAAATATATAAAATACTTAACCAGACCACCTGGTAGGGATCTGTGGGATTATCGTAACCAAGGGTTAAGGCGTCTAACTTTCATTCATTGAGTCCCAGATAAAAAACCCACCGTCTACTTCGATTTGAGCAACCGGGTAGTATTTTTGGCCCTCAGACTGGATACTCCTCACACTTAAGTACCTCAGTGTTTTATCTTAGAATAATTAGCAATGGCTTAAGTGCGTTCACTCTTTATCTTCCCTTACATCCTGAGTCCCAAAATCTCCTTATATTTGAGACTTGAGAAGTTGGATGTTATTTAATTTAATTTACAGACAAGAAAACCTGAAGACTTTAATAGATTTACTAATTGCATGAAGCTTTTTTTAATGTTCTTTTCCATAAACCATTCATTTACAATGGGTTAAAATTCTTCGTGGTTGTTTTAATAATCGCTCAATCGCGCCTTACACTTGCCCTTCAGATAGCGAAAATACCAAGTAAACCGCAGAACGTCTCAGATTTACTTCGTTCAATCGTCAATTAAGATCTAATTTCTACGTTTATATTCATCACATTCATCTGCTTTGAACGTACTTCGGCCGATGCTGATGAAGTATTTAAACTAAACACAAAAAGTACGACTTAACAGTACAATTCAAAACACTAAGACATCTATATTTTAGTAGTCAGCACCTGAATAAATGAAACACGTCTTTGTGATCGATGTGTAGAAAAACATAGTTTTTCGTTCAAGCTATGTAGCATGTAAACGTGAAAAAAGGCCTAGACAGATTATTAAAAATATTAAATTAATTTCACTGCCAAGAAACTTATACTCAACTCGAGTTCCACATACTTCAAAGATAGGGGGAAATATATTGTTACTTGGAGTGAACCTTCCCCCCCCCTTTTATTTTTTGTCATAGATATACTTTTAGTAATAATACTTTAGGGACTAACATACTATTTGAGACTAACTGACTGACTTAGTGTATAAAAATGACATAGTTCTGATTGGTGAAGACGACGTCAAATGCAGTTTTCTGAACACGTTGAGTAACAATCCAAAAATATTCGGGATATAGAGTAGGTGAAGCAGCGTTACAACATATGACTACCAAGTCACACATGTAGTTATGGAGATTAGTTGGGAAATTATGAGTCAAAACACATTTTTACAAGTACAAACAATACCATATATGTTAAAATATCATAGCAATTTATTCTTAAATGTTATGAGAGGAAACAGAAATATAGAATATCTTACCATAACATGGATTGCATCCATCCATCGAACTTCATTGTTGGAATTTTTCCAATCTTCAACACCTTCTTTAAGTGTTTCGTGGATAATTGCACGTGCCTAGTAAGGTATTGAATAAAAATGCACAAAGCAAAAATGCAACATAAAGGAATAAATTTGAAATACTTTCTGTGTAATAACTATACCACACAATGTTACGAGTTTAGTTGCATAAATTAATAGCATGATCATCTGTGTATATAATCTACCCTTCCCTAGATTTCTCAGATATTTTACTGTGTTGTGGAGTGCTGAAGCCAATTAGTATAGTATTTTGTGAATCTTTTGATGTCATTAAAAATGTTTGTCGATAGACAGTTGAAATCTTGGTGAGTTTTATTTTATTAGATACATAACCTGCACCTCATTTGCTTCATACTCCTTGCATATTTTCTAGAAAAACGAAACGCATATGATACATCCACACAAAAAAGCACATAAAATATATAATGCCACATGTAGCACATATATTACACAACAAACAAGTTGTAAGGGTTGACTTAGCCAAAAAAGCAAACTTTTGAAACATTTATTTACATTCTCACTGTTTTTGCAAAGATTTCTATGCCACTGTATTTACGTATTTTTGTATATATATGTGATAAGACAAGTCATAGGAACTTGTCGGAATATTGTGCACTGAGAATTCCATATTGTACTAAATATATAACACTGAACAGACCCACTATTATTATCAATAGTATTATCATTAAATTACTCAATAGGATATTTCAGTGAAATATGGACGTCATTTGAATGACAAATAGAAGCTGAAAATGGTGGTGTTATTCAACTCATTTAGCACCTGTCAGTTAGCGTAACAGAGCACAATCGGGGTGAGATGAAGCCCTTTGTTATTTAATATACAAGTTCCGGTACAACAGGGTATCGAAAAAGCATGCGACACACAAACAATACTGTACAGATGTAAACGAGAAAAGGGCCGTATGTCGTAAATTGACTTTTCCTTCTGAATCCTAGCGTCGGCAAATAATGCATGATGTGAAAACCATTGGGATATGATTCGTAACAGATGAGCAAACCACCAAATCCGGTGTTTCTAAAAATTGGTACCAACTGAGTTATAAATGAGCCCGGAACGTCCATATTACCAAAATGGTGCTGCTATTGAATGATAGCGACTGGACTACAAGTATACAATTGGTTTGAACCTAGTATTTTTTTAACTCCCCTGGATGCACATTTCGTATCCACCTTCGGATGTATCAGGGCATTTGGGGGCGGATCCGTTAAACTGTGAGATGACCATGTTATCATTAGTGTATCACTTTATTCCTTTGGTCACTAGTTTCTAACTTTATGACGATTAGTGAAAATACTCGACTATCCAAATGAAAGTGTGTAGGACGGCGCTTGAATCTGTGATGCATTTACTGAAAGTCGAGTGCCTCAATTATTGTTTTAAACAAAATAACACTGAATGCTTAAGTTATCAGACAACTACTTAACAGATGGTTGTAAAACGTTAAAGATCAGACGTAGTGTGCACCAATAAAGTTAATACATCATCCCCCTAAAGCTCCGAATTCGGTTTAACAAGAGAAATAAGTAATCCATTTCTATCATTAGGCATACCACCACTACAATGCTATGAACACATTTGCGCAAGGTGCTGAGTAAAATCAACAACACTGAAAGAGCACTGGAACTGAAATGTACATAATAGATTAAGATTACAACTTGATAATTGCAAACCGAATAACCGAGCCATTGTGCGCTACATCCACATTATTGATGTTTAGAACTTTTTGTAAAGTATATACATTTAAATACAAATTTAAACTTACCTGTTCTCTATGGACGAACCCAGCTACGCCAATAGCAATTTCGATGGCGAAAATAACCAGTAACAGAGCAAAATAAAAGCCCAACAAACATCGACTATAGTGATATGAGCCACAACAACCTAATATTCCCAATACAAAGCTCAGAGCCCCAATAGCAGCCAGAACGATATAAGTATAAGCCAATATATTGTGCTGATCAGTACCTCTAACCCCGAATGTTGAAAAGTAGAAGTACAAAGCAGCGGATAAAACAATCATCCCTATGATCTAGAAGCAGAATAAAAATTCAACACAATAATACAGACTCTACAAAAATACCAAAAGGTTTGTTTACTATGCATTTATGTACATGAACTAATCTTACACAAAAGAACTATACATGTTTAAGCTAAAGTATTTAACTATACTATTTAACAAGCTCTGCAAGTTTGCTACTCTTCAGATTCTTATGCTCCTGAAAATCTGAGCAGACCCTCTAGTTCACTAGGTTATTTATCTACAGAGAGAAGTTGGAAAACAATTGGCTTGCGAAACACAGATTTTCGGAGCGTCACATAACGTTAGGGTAATTTGCTATCAAGAACAAACAGTCAAAACACGAGTCTTTTCATTAGTTTATCCTTTCTAGCTTCTGATCAGAACAGGAAAACAAAATCACTAGATATACACTTCAGTACTTTTGAAAGCATAAATTTGCCAGTAGAAAGCTCAACATTGAGATCTGACTTCAATTTAGATGTAGTTGTATTTAGCTGCACTGTTATACAATTAACCACGGTATGAGCAGTTTTAGCCAGTATACTTAGATTGCTTTGGTTCATTAAGTTAATAGTTAATCACAGAATGCTTAACAGCGAACTTATTCTAATTACTAACTTATCCCTTTAGTGGTGTGTTGAAGCAGTTATAGACTAAATGAATTATTTGTAAGGGAATAATTCGAGTCCATCACATCTCGAGAAATAAAGTTTAATAAACTTGTAAAAAATCGTAGCAATTTAGTTTCTCTGAAGAATGGTTATTATTGGGATGACGGCCAAAATATTGTAGTGAGCGTAAACTTTAAGGCTTTTAAAATACTAGAGTTTGGTTGGAAGTAGTGCCTTTTCGCCAAACGCTATCATGACCCACTGTAATTGAGATAAACATTTTCCACTACTTACCTAACAATTCATAAGTTAGGTTTAGTCTCGAAGCTAGCACTTAAAGACGGCAGCAACTTGAGCAAATATCCCTTAGCATTTGTGGGTTTCCTCATAAACTTTATCATAAACTCTAAGATAACTAAGAAGGTTAGTTTGAGAGAATGTTGACCAACCACTGTTAGATGATTGGGAACTTTCATCGAATAGGCCTTTCCAGTTCCTTTTAGAAATCTACTGCGATCTGAAATCCCAAAACCCTAATTTACTAGATGCTACTGAAGTTTCTCAAAAGAAAACAATGCGAAAGTTTTCAATTATAAACTTAGATTCAAATCCAGATATACATAACGCCGCCTGGATGTAAATTTGAGACCCAAAATATCTCGCATAAGACCTTGTAAGTGGCTTCCAATGCAACCATGATTCATAAGGTATTTTTCCTTGGGACTTTTATAAAACACTATTAATGCAGTCTTGTTAAAATAAGCAATATGACTCTGGTAGATGTCTTAATGTCGCCCACTTCCAGTAGTACCCCATTTTGGTAGATGAAAATGATCTACTTAACGATTGATTGGGTGAAAATTAGTCTTAGGAACACGAAGGATAAGACCATAATGTATGGACAAACCAATATGACTAAGAATAGCATGCCTTGGGTTTTGGCGAAAACCCATTTATCCATATGGCTAAGTAGCATTTGCGAATTATAACTGACGTCAGTTCGTGGTGTAGTCCCTTATGCTAATCACAGCTACTCAGACTGATTTGCGACCCTTTTTAGCCTTGACAAGTTGGTGCATACTTTCAAGCCTAATCAACCATCGTTCAAAATTACCCCAGGTTACAATCACACCAAAACATTTAGTTATATTAGTACATGTACATGTAAAACTTTCGGTGTACCATACATTTGTACGAGTATGTACACAGAGTCCCTACTGCGCAGCTGCAAGTAAGTAGTCTAAATAAGAACTCTTAAAAACCACCATATTTATCCAGACAAGATAATCAACACCAGTACCAAACCTTTTCATCCAATGTGATGTCCCCGGTACGTTAGAAAAAAGTTGACATTGAGGTCAGAATAAATTATAAGGGTTCAGAAAGGCAATATTGTGACCCTCCTAACTTAAGTTAGGATATGTCTACAAACTGAAACACTGTGGCCACAAAGGTCCTGAGTTCATTAGATCATGACTAGTTTTCAATGCCAAACTCCCTATTTTGGGGTTTTTGAGCCATTTTCCCAAACTTTTCTATAGAGGTTTCCCCAAAATAAGATTTGATGGTTCTAAACAATATGAACATAAGTTATTACTTGTTATAATACACTACAAAAGCACTTACTGTAAACAGGATGTTAAACACAATCATCAGCACGCGAACGCATCCTGCACAAGACTTGCACATCCTGAGGAAAAAGACTACAACGCTCAACGATCTTCCAGAATTCAAAGCAAGTACGGACCCCGGGTAAATATGTTAACGACCGTGGCTCAATGTCTTATTGACAAAGGGCCAGTCCAATATTCAATTTTAAAAGACTAAGTTACCTACAAAATTTTAGAACCGAGTCTAAATGTGGATATACATTTTATTCTGGATGGAGGAATCAGTGTGTGTACATATATGCTTGGTTGATATATCTCACCAAGAACTAGATTCAGATTTGTGCAGTAAGGACAGAAGGCCTACGGCCTATGTTATTCCTTATCTAGTGTGCTTCTGTGAGTGTCCAATCTTCTCTTGAAAGAGTCAGTTGAAGGTGTGGACACCACTGCTTCAGGCAGCAGGTCCCAAGTACTGATGACTCGGTGTGAAAACCTGTATACCACGGATATTTTGTTCGTTCTTGGCTTTTCTATTCGCGTGCTATGTCCTCTGAAGTGTCCCGATCTAGTGGGAAGAAAGAGAGAATAAGTTAGGTCAGAAATCATTTCTCGGTATTCTGTATATCAAAATTAGATCTCCCCTTAGTCTGAGATAGGACCGAGTAAAGAGGTCCAGTTTTTCAAGCCGCTGTTTGTATGATAAACCCCGGAGTTCCGGAATTGCACGGGTAGCTGCCCTCTGTACTTTTTCTAGTATGTCCGAGTCACCTTTTAAGCAAGGGCTTGTAGCCTGAACGCAGTTTTCTAGCCTATTTCTCACTAAGGATGTGTATACTGTGGTGAACATGGTAGTATCTAACTTAGTGAATGTCCTTTTTAAAGCCCAGAGGGTTCGAAACCCCTTGGCTGCGACCTCCCGGAAATGGGGCGTCGTCTTAAGATCATTACTCACTGTCACCCCTAGATCCTTATGAGACCGGACTAGGGGTAATGACACATCCCCTATGTTGTACGTATTAACCTTATTCTTACTTTCTGTCTACGACCTACTAAAAAATGCTTAATCTATTTTAAAAGAGGTCCGGCAATACCAAGGTTTTCTAACTTCAACAGCAATCTATTAGTTGGCACGTTGTCGAAAGCCTTACTGAAATCTATGTAGACAACATCCACTGAGTTTCAGTTGTCTAGCGCATTAATCCAGAACTCCCTAGCTATAAGGAGGTTCGTTGTACAGGATAGACCCTTTCTAAAACCATGTTGTGCCATGTTCAGCAAGTCATTGGTTTCCATAAATGCCGTTGTGGTCCGTCTGATTATTCTTTCCAGTGTTTTAATTACAACACTGGTGAGACTTACGGGTCTGTAATTCGATGGAACTTGTCGTGGACCTGTTTTATGTATGAGAGTGACGATTGCGTCCTTCCACTCCATAGGTAACACACCTTGGTCAAGTTACACATTGAATACCACAGTCAGTGAGGCCGCGATATATTGGCAATACGTCTCAAGATTTTGGGGTGTAGTTCACCTGGTCCTGTTGACTTCTCCATGTTTAGGGTGCTGAGAACCTTAAGCACATCGTTTTGGTCGAAGTCCACGGTGAGCAGCTGGTTTGTTGACCCTGTATTTGGGTCTGGTTCTTTCTCTAGAGGAGGTTCCTCAGAGAAAACTGCCCCAAAATAGTCAGCCATAGCCTCCGCTTTTTCCTGATCTTCTTCTATCATTTCAGATTCACTCCCTACTTTAATTAGGTTGGGAATCCAATGATGCATCCTTGTTCTGTAGTTTATGTACGGAATATTCTCTTGGGCTTCTTGAGTGGAGCTTGTGCCAGCTGCATTCCATATTTTCTCTGAGCTCCCCGAATTTTTGTTATACACTCGCTTGTTGTCGATCTGTAGCGTTCCATCGTACCTGCTGTGCCAAGGCGGATGGCAACATCCCAGCATTTCTTTTTTTGTCTTAGTAAGCGTCGAATATCCCGCCCTATCCAGGGATGGCTGTGCTTCTTTTTCTTTGAGACAGTCCAGGGTATGTATGGTTGAGTTACTCGATTGTATAAATGCCTGAATAGAGTCCATGCCTCTTGTACTGATGCCTTTGAGTCTATTTCCCAGTTTTCAGACGATGCTGCGGAGTTAATTGCCTGCATACCTGCCTCCCATACGTTGGGACGGGCCGGTGCAACTGTTTGACAGGCAATATCAGCTCCGAACTTTTACAATTTGAAATCCCTTAAGAACGAGGTTTCTTCCACCGTTTCGGCGACGCTCGTTTATTTCCGATTCTGAAGCTCGTCTCTTAATACGATCAGCTAGGCTGAGATCCTCACGGACATATATTCCGGATCCAATCAGTTTACGTGATTTACTTAGAATCAGGTTCCTTTCTTCCACCGTGTTGAATGTAACCTTTAGGGGCGGTTTTTCTGAGGACTTTCGGAATCAACCCTTTTTTCCTATTCTATAAAGCTTACAAATACTAACTCCTGAAACTGTATCTGGGAGTAATTTACTTAATGATGTCTTAATATGATTAAGATCGTATTCAAATCTTGCCTTTGGTTCTGTACCTAAAGATTCTCTTATTTTATGAAAAATGACTGATCTCTCAGAGAGATCTGTCTTGTCACACAGTGAGGATTTTTCTTCTGATAACATCCCTTCCAATGCCTTGCTGACCAGCTGCCTTTTGCCCACAGTCTTTTTCTCCCCATTTATTTTTCTCCCTACTGAAGTCCATTTGTCACCACTCGGGACAGCCACACCTGGACTATGTGGAACGGTGACAGTTTTATCCGGATCTTCTATTTCGACTAGAAGTGCACGACTGCCGATGTCAATATCAAGCGACACTTCATTCCTCGTTAATGTCAACGGAGACTTCACGTTCTCGTCAACCGCAGTCAGGTGTTTAACGGGTCCAGTAGCAGCACTTACTCCACTGACACATTCTTCACCCTCAGCGCTCTCGTTATCAGTGCTTCCGCCATCATTTTTCTTGCAGGTCAAAGCCAATAGGCCCATAGCCTAGTGAATTAGTACATTTTTATCCGTACAGCAGAACATACAAAGCCAATGCGAGTTAGGCTCCGAACATCTTTTGTAAGCCGTCGGACTTGGGCGTGTACACATTCTGTGGTACCACATTTTACAATCGTCACACTTCATTCCCTCCTCAACGGGGAACAAACAATTTGGTTGCCCACATTTGTGAGTCTTACCAACCATTGAAATTCGATTTAAAAAGTTTAAAATCACAAAATGATCACAATGTGAGCACAAGTGTTAGTCAAGGAGTAAAAAAAGGTACTCAGGACAAAATTTAGCAAAAAATTTCAAACTTTAACCAAAGTACTTTTAGTTAAAGTAGACTAAGAATGCTTTTTGGTGCAATAAGTACCAAAAGCAAGTATAATCACAACAAGTACAAAAATCACTGCCCTTTGTGAAACGAGCGCGGTAGCGGCTACTTATGGAAATGACATTCATTTGGTTATTGGTTTTTCATATCTCTATAAATTTTGGCTTGGCTTTTCCCACATATTTTTAACGCTTTTAAAAAGTCGATTATAGACAACAGATATATTTGTTAGAAATTCTGTTTTAAGTTGCTGTGGAAAATGAACTCCTGGGACAAATAATTCTGTGATTATTTGATACTCATGCTTACCGAATTAGTTTTACTCGGTACACCTTTATTCAAAGGCTCTTAGTCAAACATACGCACCGATTCATATTTGAGTACACCTTACTGAACATCTCTTGCTACAACTAGTCAACTTGGGTTGTATGCTCTTCGACGAATCAATCATAATCCAATTATGTAATCTCAGCCCTCCTTTCTCGGCTTCTGGTTTATTTGGGGTTGAGGTCGTTTTGTGAGAAGAGGTATCGGATGGCAGTGTTAATAAACGCTGCTTGTTAGTCACGCCCGTTTTATTCACCATAAGTTTGTGAAGATTAGGTATGAAGAATGTGATGAAGCCCCAAGTTATACAAATGATTGAGTCATATGTACAGTCTTATTACTCTATGAGGGAAAAACTATCCAATGAGAAATCAATAGACCTTATCGCTAGGAATCCAAACTTCAAATTTTGATTAACATTATTATTTCTATGGTTTAACTGTTGGGTTAGTAATTGGTTTTGTTACTAGTATTTCGAGGTTACTTCGGATCAGTTGAATATTGTCATACGTCTTACCGTTCCCTGATGATCGTCAATTAATAATGTACCGTTTACTCTGTTCTCTGTTTAGTGTGAATAACTTGTGCATAAGTTACGTTTTCTTATATGTTGTTCTTTGCCGTCTATCAGTTTATGTATAGAGATATATTACTGCTTCAAATATAGATAAAAAGATGTGTGACTTGTTTTTTCAGTGGACTCAGAAGTGAGATGAAAGAAAAACATCTGATGAACCAATAGAAGTTGAGGTCATCTTGGTTTCTTTGCAAGATTAATAGTTGGCAACCAGAAGGAATAATCGGTCAAAACTTAGTATGGGAATCTCATGGATCCAGAATCATCAAAGAGTCATTCAAAACAAAGAAGGAGTGAATGATGATGAATGTCATCCAGTGTTATGTACCCACCGATGACAGCAACGACGACAGTAAAGATCAGTTCTATGGGAGGCTGCAGTCAATCACAGCGAAGTGCCCTAACAACTAGTATCAATAAAAATTCCGAAGGATAATGGGAGATTCAAGAACCACGAGAAGAGCTGACGAAGCTTCAGATCAACATATGGTTGTGGTCAGAATGAAACTAAAGAAAAACTGGACGACTGAGTGAAAAATAATACACAGGACCAATACAGCCTTTCTTCGAGATATTACCAAAAAAAGAATTCAAAATAAATCAATAATACGTTTATATATCAATAAGTAAGTGTTGATATGTGGACGACGATAATTTGTGTTTAAATTTGATGGGAATGTTTGTTGTGGGATCGATGTGTTGTTGAATGAGTGTGAGTGTCTAGAATCTAGTGTGTTATTGTTGTGAGGTGGTGTAGTAGTGTTGTTTGAGGTGACGACGGCGCGCCCTTATAGCTCAGTGGTAGAGCACTGGTCTCGTAAACCAGGGGTCGGGAGTTCGATCCTCCCTGGGGGCAGTAGGTTTTCGCCCATATCAAATA